CTGCTGAGTTTCTTCAAGGCAACGGACCGTTTCTTCCCTTCCAGTGCCTAACCCAGAGCCGAGCACATAATATACCCTCAGTAAATATTTATGGAACAAAATGTGTTACAGGCTAAGAATTCCATTCCAAAGAGAAGTTCTGAATTTTTTTAAAGTGACCATATTCAGGATATGTCAGAAGGTACTAATTCAAATAATTTTAAAACAATCAACTCATATTCTTTCTCTTCCTTTTATTCTTATTCAGTTGCTCTTCTCTACTTTCCTCCTGAAAAATGAGAATTGAGCAGGGAATCATGGTAGCTGAAGTCTCTCACAGCTTAGGGGAATGATGGCTTGGTGGAAAAGGGCAGCTGACTGAATCATTTTGGAGCCTTGAATTAGTTCCCTGAACTAAGCTTACTGGTTTTCATTACGTGTGTCTGTGTAACTGATTTTCATCTTCTGTATGGGTATAAACAAATTAGGACTGGCAAGGGCCTAATAGATTATATAATCCAATTTCTTGCGGAAGAAAACTGAGGATAAGGAATTTGTCTAAGATCAAATAGCAAGTTAGAGGCAAAGTCAGAACTGGAACTGAGGTTTTCGACCTCCCAATATACACCTTTATTCGTATATTCCTGTTTTGCTGCCACCCTTGATTGCTGGCAGAAGTTTCTTGGTCTCTAGGATGACAAAGACTTAATAGGCAGCTACCACATACTTATGACAACAGAACTTAGAAGATCGGGTGTGTGAAACTGAACAAGGAGACTGAGTACCTAAAGTACTAATAGTATCTTTTTCCCCAAAACTATGTTAAAGTGAGCTTTATGGTACAGAATACTGTATGCTTACCCTGTGTCCTCTACGGTCATATGTTTTAATCTGCCTGTATTGTGTTCTCTTTTCAAATATGAATTAAATTTTATTAATATTGAAGTCTCTTTAAATTGCTTTTCTGTTTTCCAAAAAGAGTTTCTTCTTCCCTTTTGGCTTCTTACCTCCTGTTACCTCTCTAACTCTAGACAGAATATAAGCAATTTATTTAATCTTAGTTTGCTCTTTAATGAAATCAAAATTAAGATTTTTAGGTCTCTTTATAATGAACATGTACTACTTGATCTGGAGGTATTTTAACATAGTATCTTTAAAACTATCTAACTAAATATATTACTTCCAAATGTAATGTTTCCAAGAGGTTACTTAATAGTAACGATTACTGTAATAACTAGGAAGCACTTTGAAATTCTCTATGTTTATCTTGTTTTATCTACACAGACTTTACTACATAGGATTTGAAGAAAGGATGCTTAAAAAGAACAAACTGTGGTCTAGTAGATACCCAGATCTAGAGAGCAGAGACACCTGCCATGTGCATTCAGGGCATCCAGCAAATCTCAGGTTCGAAGAAGATTATATCAGGGCTGTGCCATCTTGCCTTCAGTTTTCAGCATTAGGTCGCACTTCAGGCTGAGAGCAAACAGTGACCTCTGCCACATGTTTGAAAGACCAATTGCATCAGGCATTGCATTTTTATTATACTTTATATTCTATATTGACGGTTTATGTTCTGTGGCTACCAGTAACATTTGCTGAATGCTTACTTGTATGCCAGGCACAGTTCTAACACTTGACATGAATCAAATCTTTTGATCCTCATAAAGACTCCTATGAGGTAGGTTCAGTTATTATCCCCATTTTTCTGTTGTGGAAACTGAGGGACAGAGAGCTTAAGTAATTTGGCCAACATCATATATTTAGTTAGTGAAGGAGCTGAGTATAAACCCAGAGAGTTTGGCTCTAGAGATTGTGTTCTTAACCATTATGCTACGCTGCCTCTTGGAAAACCTATGTACTTAGGTTTTATAACAAGTAAATATTTAGCTTATTTTCTTTGGTGGTAGAAGTGGAGGAGTGAAGGGAGGTGGGGGATGGAGCTGTAGGCCTCTGGGGGCTGCATTAGAATTCATCATGCCTTGCAGCGAATGTTTGCGGCCAGAAAAGGATTGAGACCTTTTGCCTTAAGGAAATTAGCTTAATTTAGGTCTGGATCATTAGAGTTCTAACTTATGACATTTTAGTCTTCTACCTTCATGGTATATATTTCATGAAACATTTCTGATAAATTCTTTTGTTTTCACAGAAACTCAAACAGAAGAATCAACAGCTGAAGCAAATTATGGATCAATTACGAAATCTCATCTGGGATATAAATGCCATGTTAGCAATGAGGAACTAAACTGATATTTAAATTTCCAGCATTACACATGTTATACCATCTTTTTCCCTCAAGTATTTTTTCCCTTTAAAGAAGATTATTTATCTACTTTTATTCTAGTCACTAGAATGAAAGTTTCTATTTTTTTATTTTGCGGTATGCGGGCCTCTCATTGTTGTGGCCTCTCCCGTTGCAGAGCACAGGCTCCAGAAGCACAGGCTCAGCGGCCATGGCTCACGGGCCCAGCCGCTCCGCGGCATGTGGGATCTTCCCGGACCGGGGCACGAACCCGTGTCCCCTGCATCGGCAGGTGGACTCTCAACCACTGCGCCACCAGGGAAGCCCTGAAAGTTTCTATTTTTTACACTGTGGTTTTACATGAAAGCATTCATTGGTGGTTTTTCTTTAAGCTATTGATTCTGTGAAAGATTATGGTAGTAATAAACTTTGATGGGGTTTGTTTTTGGTTGATCTTCATGAATTGAATAATTGTTTTTTTAGAAGCAAAGTAAGTTTTGTAAATAAATTTCTAAATTTGATCAGTGGTTGTTTTGTTCATTTCATTACCCTTTTAGGAGAAAATGAAAGGTTTAAACATTCTTGCAGATGAAAATACCAAGTTCAGTCCATCTGTGGTACAAATTAAACATATAAGTTACCATTTCAGCTCAACTTTTAAAATTTAGTTTGAGTCCCAAGGAAGTTAGAATGAGAAAACAGTTAACTTCTCTACTGTTGTAAGCAGATGAAAATGGAAATTGTTTTTATTGTGGTTCTTTAAGTGTTTGGCCTTAATTGGAATGATCTGTCCCTAAAAGGAGAGAAAAATTTGTTGAAATCCCAACTATGTGTTTATTTGCTACCTGCTTTAGGCCAAGAAGCAACAACCCCCTATCTGATTTTTCAGATATATCCTAAAGTAATCTTAAGCATGTTTTAGAAACAGTGAATTCTTAAGAGTTTAAATGAGATAGCTCTACATGACAAGTGCTTCTGTAGACTGGTAGTTGGTCTACAGTAATAAGTCTGCCTACAGGTCTGCCTACAGGAGCTGGTTTCTCAGATTATATATAATGTATCCTCTAATAAGAGAGTTGGATCCTTCTCAGGAAAGATTTCTCCCAGCCTGATCCAGAAGCCCCTAGCTACTGGCCTTGGTTCTGACTCAATAAATACTGCTATTTGACTCTGTAGTCAAATTCTCTGGAGGGTACCAGCTTCCTCTGGGGAGGGGACCTGGGTGGTTGAGGATGAGGATAAAGAAGATGCTTACTATTCATTGTATACCTGTGGAATTTTCCAGCATGTGCAAATACTACCTATTCACTTTAAGTTATACAGATTCCCACCTCTGACAGGTGGCAGAAGCATGACAAGACAAGCCAAACCACGGGGACATCTTTAGACTCTAACTGTACATTCATCAAAGCAAGTTCCCCTGAGCGAGCCCAGTGTTAGTCAAATGGCGAAATGACCCCACGGTGGGAAGCCCAGCAGTTCTAAGGCAGAAGGTAATGGTATATGAAGCTATGACAAGAATAATTAGGACCAATAATTCAATCTACCCCAGAAGTCTACAGTATCTATTTTATTTAGCCTATCACCAGTTGGACATGGGGGGTTTTTTTTTTTTTTTTTTTTTTTTTTTTTACAGGTTTTCACTGTACTTTGCATGGTTAGATTGCTGACGACTACTGGGAATTTAGTGGTTTGGTACTGACAACTTGTAAAGCAGTTACAAAAAACGTTTTAACCAAATGGAGTTTTTTGGTTTTGTTTTGTTTTGTTTTAATCACACTCAACACCTTAGATCATTCAAGGTGTCACATACTCAACTCTTGAAAGGAATGTGGAAATTGTATCTTTGGGGGCTTGGTTCTATAGAGAATCTCAATATGGAGCAATAATCAACGCAGCTACTATAAGCTATAGAGCAGTAGCCCCAAATTCTGGGAACCTCAAATTCTGTGTGTTCTTGAAGTCCTCAAAACTGATGCTGGTTTATCCAGTCACTCACTAGTCTACTTGAGGCTTATTATGAATGTGTTGGGGTTATAAAAACATAGACTCCACTGACAAAGTTTCAGCTTTTTGAGGGAGAGCATGCCGGGAGACTGAAGAGCCAGAAACGCAATTCAATCACGATGTGTGGCCTTGGACAAGTAAATCTCAGTTTTCTTGTCTGTAAAATGATAGGTGGGATTAGTTGATCTTATATTCTATGTTAGAATTTTAGGTGCAAATGTTATAAACCCAATTCCAAATGGCTTAAGCCAAAAAGGGAATTTATTAATTCATGTAGCAAGAAAGGATGCTTGAGAAGAGCTCACGGAAGCAGAGAAAAGCTGCAGAAACCAAGACTTCAAGAATTAGAAGCAAGATTCAATGCCCCAGGATTCTCTTTGCCCACCCCTAATTTCTGCTCTCTCTGCTCCATTCTCTCCAACTGTAGACAGGCTTTCTCCAAATGGTGGGAAAGATGGCTGCCCACCAGCTTACCTTTACATCTTTTCCACGCCCTGACTCCAGAGGCTGGGCCCCTTCTCCCACTCTGCATTGAGAGCTGGAGTGGACCCTGATCAGCACAGCTTGGGTCATGTGACCAACCTTTGAACCAATGGTTGTGTACATGTGGGTTCTATAATTAGATCATCCAGGTTATAAGCCCATCCCTGTGGCTAGGAATTGGGTGTGAGAGTCATGGAAAAGTTACTGAGCAGGGAACAAATACTAGGGAAAACAATACCAATCAGAAAAATTTGCAAGAAAAGCATAAAACAATGGCAACCACAGTCCACTGATGTTCCTCCTTGGTTCTAATGCTGTCTCAGGTAACATCAGTTATTCAACTCTCAAACCCTAAGAAAAGTTTTAGAGAAAACTAAATGCATCATTGACTATCATGAGAAAATTGTTAATTTTAATTTTTTTCTCAATTTGTGGACTTCTGTGTTGACATTTTTCTTTACAGCCATTTTTTTTTCTTTGAAGCTTTTTCAATTAATTGCAACGTGATCTTATCAGGTCTTGGTTAGCCTCTCGTGGGTTAATAAAGCAGAGATACGAAAGAGCTAAGAAAAACATAAAATGAAAACTTCAGCATCCTGGTAATGAAATTATCTTTAAAATGGTTTGGAAACCGAAGGCCCTCATCATTCAGACATTAGATCCCCTGGCACCATTACAAGACAAAATGTGTTAACTTGACATTTTGATGTAGTTCCAGTTTGAGTAATTCATTTTCTTTCCTTAAATTCCCAAGGAAGTTTAAGCTAGAAAGAGGAGTCTTTCAGCCTTAAACTAAAATGTGTGCTTTGACCTAAAGCTCAAAGACTTTATCAAATTTGTCCAACATAACTGGATGCCTTAAAATTTTTCCTATTCCTTTAAAACATTTGAGGACCAAGGACTGATTTTTTTAAGCCTAAACTGAAAGATATTCCAGATGTATATATATTTTTAACATGGTAGCAGTCATGAATTCTCTCATATCTTTTTTTTTTAACTTAAAGGAGTTAATATATTTAAGTTAATTATCTTTAAGTTTATATTTTTACATTGGGTTGAATTGTACACGAATGCATTTACATCAGTAAATGTATGAATGCACTGATGATTCATGCATTTTTTTTGAAAATTCTGTTGTCAATATGTAATTTGCATTCCCAAAACTTATAAAGAAAATGTAGGGGCTTCCCTGGTACCGCAGTGGTTGAGAGTCTGCCTGCTAATGCAGGGGACACGAGTTCGAGCCCTGGTCTGGGAAGATCCCACATGCCACGGAGCAACTGGGCCCGTGAGCCACAACTACTGACCCTGCGCATCTGGAGCCTGTGCTCTGCAACGAGAGACGCCACAACAGTGAGAGGCCCGCGCGCCGCGATGAAGAGTGGGCCCCGCCTGCCACAACTAGAGAAAGTCCTCGCACAGAAACGAAGAGCCAACACAGCCAAAAATAAATTAATTAATTAATTTTAAAAAAATGTAAACCTGTATTTTCTCTGTACTTTGAGGTTTTATTCTATGACACAGGGTTACAAGATCACCAAGTGGCATGTCCTTGTTAGAACTACCTTAACCTGTTTTAACTTATTCAGATGTCTTTTTGAGGCAGCACCTCTTCAAGGTTAGCGAGGCCGGGAATCAACTTGGGTGCACTTTTAAAAATACAGATTTTGGACTTAGCACAAGTTTACTGAATCAGAATCTCTAAAGTAGGGTCTAAAAGTTTGCATATTTAAAAACAAGTTTTCCAGGTGATCTGTCACCGACACTGGAAAAATATTTTTCTATGCAGTTTAGTGATAGTCATTATGAGTATTTTAACATGAAAAACTGTATAAAAAGTAGCAGTATTGATACAAAGTGAAAAGTTTTGTGTCACATTTAAAGTTCTAACCTTTTTTTTTTTTTTTTTTTTTTTTTTTTGCGGTACGCGGGCCTCTCACTGCTGTGGCCTCTCCCATTGCGGAGCACAGGCTCCGGACGCGCAGGCTCAGCGGCCATAGCTCACGAGCCCAGCCGCTCCGCGGCATGTGGGATCTTCCCAGACCGGGGCACAAACCAGTGTCCCCTGCATCGGCAGGCGGACTCTCAACCACTGCGCCACCAGGGAAGCCCTCTGGCTTTGTTTTATTCTAAACTCTAACCTGCCTGAGACAGACCCGGGTAGCTGATGGCTGCCCTTCAGAAGGCTCTGCTCCCAGCCTTTCCACGTCACACTCTGGCGAATCCAGCACTGGCTTTGCCTCTTCCTCAACCTGGATGCCCTGTCCTCCCTTCCTTCTGTCTGGTTAAATCCTTAACAATCCTTCAAGGCTCCTGTGAACCCACTGCTGGCCCTCACATCTTTCCACACTGATTTCCACCATCTCTGAACTCTGCAGACTCCTGGGTCAATCACACCCTACCTTCTGCTCTTATGTTCCAGCTTCATGTGTGTGCTTTGTCTGCCCAGGTAGACGGAAAGCTCCCTGGGATTCAGATTAATTTTCCCTCTTCCTCCACCCAGCACAATGCTG